TTAAAGGAACCACAATTGGCGAAAGTAAACCAAGTGGGTCATATATCTTAGCCGTTGAACTCAGAATTTCACGTTTCGTTACGAATTGGCAATCATTTGAAAAGATTTTTGAGAAATCAAACCTAATTCTGTCGGACGTTTTGTCCCATGCCAAGCCAATTTCATCAGCCAATTCACAACAATTAGATTCCCACTTTCTTAAATTGAAACCTCCCCTTTTGAAACAGAGTTTCAGTTCCTTGTAAGACTCCAAGGCTTCCGTCTTAGAAGAAAAGGTGGAGATAAAATCGTCCACGTATAAGCAATTCAAGACATTTCGTACAAATTTTTCATTGCTTTGGGCATATTTGGCCAAATGAGCTCTGATAGTAGCATTCAAAACAAAAGGTGAACTGACGAGGCCAAAAACCAATCTTGTGAACCGAAAACAAACGATCTCGAGTTTGTCACTGTCAGAAATATCATTGACCCAAAGAAATCTCAGAAAGTCGCGTTCATCAGGTTTGATACTAACATTCAAAAATGCTTTTGTAGGGAGTGCTAATTTATCCCGAAGTTTGTAGCTAATATATGTTCTTTGGGCTCCTGAATCTAAAAGAATTCTAACATTAGCAGTTGTGTTTTCATTTTGCGGAGAACTTACTTTTGCTCTAGCGGTTTGCAAGAGAATATTTTGACTCATACCTTGTTCAAGATGTACGCTATGTTCACTTGGTTGATACTGCATATCACCCACCACCGGTGGTGGAATTTCTCTTCGTTTTTCGACAGCAACTGGTCCTCCTTTTGTTGGGCTTTTCTCGGCACTGCAAATAGTGACATGATGTTTTCCACCACAAGTATAGCACTTTATATTCGACAAACAATTAACTGCAATATGCCCAGTTTTGAAACACATGAAGCATCTTCCATTTTGCATCAAAATTCTTCTTCTTGTCGAGGGCTTCGTGACGGTTTGACACTTCTGCGACGGATGGTCACCTTTGCAGAATACGCAATTTGGTTTGGCAACACGATTGCCTGACGTGTAAAGCGTGGATACAGTTGGTTGCCTTTCTTCCCGTTCTCTGTAAGGCGAAACTCTAGGTAACCTTTTCCTGCCATCATTCGGCATTAGAAAGCAATTTTCTCTTATCATCAGTTCTTCCTTGAAGGTATCTAACAAGCGCTTTAAATCCCAATTTCCGTTTCCTAACCGTCGGCTAATTGTGATCTTAAGTTCGTTCGGTAATTTTCCCAACAATACAGGGGTCAAAAATGTTCCGTAATTTTCCTCGGTTATCCCCAAGCCATCAAGACTGCGAACAACTGACTCTGTTTTATCGTAAAGGGTTCGCAAGTTTTTTAAATCGCTACAACTTTCAACAGGGGACAGCGAAACCAACGTCGTAACGTGTGTAGTGATCAAAATTTGTTTTTGTCCAAATCTCTCCTTCAAAATTTGCAAGGCGCTTTCATAATTTGCATTCGTGACTTTTAGACCGGCAATCGCTTCTTTTGCTACACCTTTCAATAAAGACTGCAGGTATTGAAATTTAGTAACATTCGACAAATGAGGGTCGCAATGTACTGCCGATTCAAAAATGTCATAAAAGGAAGGCCAATTTTCGACCTTGCCGTCAAATGTTGGCATCGAGAGTTTCTGCAACTTTGCTTGCTGTTTAAACGCTCCTGTTGTTTCCGCACTGGAGGCCGACGAGGTATTAAAGTTTTCGTTTCCAATAGATTGACCATCTTTTAAACTGAAACTTCCAATTGCTCCTTCTATGATGCACAAGGCATCTTCAATTTCACTCTCAAACTCCAATTTCTCCTGCGTCTCCTTTTCGACTGCTTCCTTCGGTAAAAGATCAAAAATTTCGTTGTTCAAAGTATCCAATTCTAACTTCTGTTTATTCAGTGTCCGTCGATACGATTCCAGTTTGTTCTTAGATAATCCAGATAAATCCCGTCCTTCTTCGGGTAAAAAATCTCCGTAACTAGACAACACATTTTTAACGAAAAGCTTATGTCCGCTTCGTTTCCTCACCTTTTTCTTTAGGCTATCCTCCATGATCGCTCAAAATATTTACTTAGCCCATGCTAATTCCAAATTCAAAATCGCCAGGTTCGTTCCCGGGTCACGGCACCATGATGTGTAAAGGTTCAGACTGAAATTCAAACTATTATGAAATACCAGGATAATATTTATTTGCATCATTCCGATACATCTTTATTTATAAGCGCAATCATGAACATCAAAATCCTTCGTTCATGTCCAAAATACGTCCTAA